AAATAAAGTCTGAACAGATTGAAGGATTTTCATGTTTCAAAAGGCAAATAATGTATATTTTAATGTAGAATATGTAGACATTCTAAGAATATTTTAAAAGTTGTTCCTTGATCCCGTAAAGTGAAAAGAACCCCCCTAAAACTGGTCCAATATTCAAACGACCATAACTCCTATAATAGTAAGGATATCTTATCGAAATTTTTTTCTGAATCGGAGCCCATGGATACCTACAAGAAAGTATTAAACAACTTTTCTGTACAACGTGAAACAAATTTATTAAAAAAGAAAAACGAATCTTCAAGAAAAATCGACAGGGGGTAGTTTTTTGGCGAAAAAAAAAATTTCAAATCATTTTAAAAAAATTATTTTGGTCGGGGGAGTCAATTACAATCATTTTTGGTGAATACACATACCCCCGAAATCCTACGCACTTTCGAGAAAAAAATTCTTTACCGAAAATCTAATTAGGCGCTTAAATTTTTCGACGAAAAAGAAAAATTTCAAATCGTAAAAAATTATTTTCGGTTGCGGGGGTCAATTACAATCATTTTTGGTGAATAGACATACCCCCGAAATCCTACGCACTTTCGAGAAAAAAATTCTTCATCGAAAATCTAATTAGGCGCCTAAATTTTTCGACGAAAAAGAAAAATTCTAAATCGTTTTTGAAAAATTATTTTCGGTTGCGGGGGTCAATTACAATCATTTTTGGTGAATAGACATACCCCCGAAATCCTACCCACTTTCTAGAAAAAAATTCGAGAGGGTGTGAAATTTTTCGACGGAAAAAAAAATTTCAAATCGTTTTGGAAAAATTATTTTCGGTTGCGGGGGTCAATTACAATCATTTTTGGTGAATAGACATACCCCCGAAATCTTCCGCATTTTCAAGAAAAAAATTCAGTACGAGCGGAACTTTAAACGTTAATAACTTTTTAACGAAGCCTCCATCAACAAATTGGTATTCTTGATTTTCGTCTTATTTTGGCCTCCAGAATCCCCCATTAAAATTTTTCCCAAGGGTGGTCGATCACCCTGTATAGTTTGATTTTTTGTATTGTTTAGGCCAATGAAAATGGTCAAATTAAATTCTATCGATGATGGAGGATGTTCGTACCATTTTAAATAGAATTTCTCTCTATCGAAAAATAAACAAAATATGCTAACATTCATTAACAAATTTTTACAAAAATGGCTTCCTACAAAAAATATTAAATTCCTATATATTATTGTCAACATCGATTTACATGATATAAATTTTATACAGATTTTGAATAAACTCTTCAATAATGATAGCTCATTATTCTGTATTTATTGAAAACAACTTTGAATATCATTAACACTGAAATGGTCACATTTTCTGTACCATTTATGCCAATAAAAATGGTCAAATTAAATTCTATCGATGATGGAGGATGTTCGTACAATTTTAAATAGAATTTCTCTCTATCGAAAAACAAACAAAATACGTTTACATTCTTTAACAAATTTTTAACCATCGCGCGAAAGAGAAACAAACAATTTAACAAAAAAAAAAAAAATGGATGAAAAACACGCTTCCTATTAATACAAATATTTCAATGTTCTATCCAGATTGCGTATAACAAAAGATTCGTTCGAACAGAACAGGCGGAAGTTCAGCGATACGTTTATTGTTTTATCTGACGAGGGCCGGAGAATTATCGCGAAAACGCTCGAATCGTAAAGCTATTATTTTAAAATAGCAGAGATTCTTTCCAATTAGCTCATCGCCAAATACAGTGAACCGTTAGACGGTAAAAAAAACTTAAAAACAATAAATATGTATAGAAAGTGTTCTCCAATAAAACTAATAATTCGAGTTTTCTAGCCGCCATATTTGTTAGTCGTTTCAGTCATGTGACGTGTTTCTATTCGATAAGATTTTACATAATTAGTTGCTCGACACGTTAAAATTATTGCAATTGATGGTACGTAAACACAGGGAACTGTTGGATAGTGTAAAATCGTAAAAACAATAAATATGTATAGATAGTGTTTTCTAATAAAACTAATAATTCGAGTTTCCTAGCCGCCATATTTGTTAGTCGTTTCAGTCATGTGACGTGTTTCTATTCGATAAGATTTTATAAAATTAGTTGCTGAAGACGTTAAAATTATTGCAATTGATGGTACGTAAACACAGGGAACTGTTGGATAGTGTAAAATCGTAAAAACAATAAATATGTATAGATAGTGTTTTCTAATAAAACTAATAATTCGAGTTTCCTAGCCGCCATATTTGTTAGTCGTTTCAGTCATGTGACGTGTTTCTATTCGATAAGATTTTACATAATTAGTTGCTCGACACGTTAAAATTATTGCAATTGATGGTACGTAAACACAGGGAACTGTTGGATAGTGTAAAATCGTAAAAACAATAAATATGTATAGATAGTGTTTTCTAATAAAACTAATAATTCGAGTTTCCTAGCCGCCATATTTGTTAGTCGTTTCAGTCATGTGACGTGTTTCTATTCGATAAGATTTTACATAATTAGTTGCTCGACACGTTAAAATTATTGCAATTGATGGTACGTAAACACAGGGAACTGTTGGATAGTGTAAAATCGTAAAAACAATAAATATGTATAGATAGTGTTTTCTAATAAAACTAATAATTCGAGTTTCCTAGCCGCCATATTTGTTTGTCGTTTCAGTTATATTCGAATCTATTCCATTCAATTATATTCTACTTCTAATTCTATTCCATTTCTTATTTGGTTTTTTCTATTCACTTATATTCTATTTTCAATTTCTTTTCTATTTCTAACACTATTTCATTTCTTATTCGATTTTGTTCTATTCAATTATATTCTATTTCTATTTCTGTACTATTTCTATTCGATTCTATTCTATTCAATTATATTCTATTTATGTTCCATTCTATTCTATTCAAATATATTCTATTTCTATTTCTATTCCATTTTTTTTTTTATTTTTTTCTATTTAATTATATTCTATTTTAATTGCTATTCCATTTCTTATTTGATACTATTCTATTTCTAATACTATTCCATTATTTATTCGAATTTGTTTTATTAAAATTATATTCTATACTATTTCTATTTCCATTCCATTTTTTAGTCGATTCTAATTCTATTCAATTATATTCTATTTCTATTCCATTTTTTATTCAATTCTATTCTATTCAATTATATTCTATTTCTATTCCATTTTTTATTAAATTCTATTCTTTTCAATTATATTCTATTTCTAATACGATTCCATTTCTTATTCGATTTTGTTTTATGCAATTATATTCTATACTATTTCAATTTCTATTCCATTTTTTACTCGATTCTGATTCTATTCAATTATATTCTATTTCTATTCCATTTTTTACTCGATTCTGATTTTATTCAATTATATTCTATTTCTATTCCATTTTTTATTCAATTATATTCTATTTCAATTTCTATTCCATTTATTATTCGATTTTATTCTATTCAATTATATTTTATTTTTATTTCTTTTCTATTTCTAATACTATTCCAGTTTTTGTTCGATTTTGTTCTATTCAATTATATTCTATTTCTACACCATTTCTTATTCGATTCTATTCTATTCAATTATATTCTATTTATGTTCCATTCTATTCTATTCAAATATATTCTATTTCTATTTCTATTCCATTTTTTCTAATTAATTATATTCTATTTTAATTTCTATTCCATTTCTTATTCGAATTTGTTTTATTCAATTATATTCTATACTATTTCTATTTCCATTCCATTTTTTAGTCGATTCTAATTCTATTCAATTATATTCTATTTCTATTCCATTTTTTATTCAATTCTATTCTATTCAATTATATTCTATTTCTATTCCATTTTTTATTAAATTCTATTCTTTTCAATTATATTCTATTTCTAATACGATTCCATTTCTTATTCGATTTCGTTTTATGCAATTATATTCTATACTATTTCAATTTCTATTCCATTTTTTACTCGATTCTGATTCTATTCAATTATATTCTATTTCTATTCCATTTTTTACTCGATTCTGATTTTATTCAATTATATTCTATTTCTATTCCATTTTTTATTCAATTATATTCTATTTCAATTTCTATTCCATTTCTTTTTCGGTTTTTTTTTCTAGTCAATTATATTCTATTTTTATTTCTATTCTTTATGTATTCCATTTCTTATTCGATTTTATGCCATTGAATTATATTCTATTCCATTTTATTCAATTATATTCTATTTCTATTCCATTTTTTTCGATTCTATTCTATTCTATTTCTATTCCATTTTTTATTTGATTTATTTCTATTCAAATATATTCTATTTCAATTTCTATTCAATTCTATTATATTCCTATTTCTATTCCATTTTTTAGTCGATTCTATTTAATTCAATTATATTCTATTTCTATTCCATTTTTTATTTGATTTATTTCTATTCAAATATATCCTATTTCAATTTCTATTCCATTCTATTCCATTCCTATTTCTATTCCATTTTTTATTCGATTCTATTCCATTCAAATATATTGTATTTCTATTTCTATTCCATTTTTAATCCGATTCTATTCTATTTCTATTTCATTTCTTATTCGATTTTATTCCATTCAATTATATTCTATTTCTAATTCTATTCCATTTCTTTCTCGATTTTTTTTTCTAGTCAATTATATTCTATTTTTATTTCTTTTCTATTTCTAATACTATTCTACTTTTTATTCGATTTTTATTTCTATTCTTTATGTATTCCATGTCTTATTCGATTTTATGCTATTGAATTATATTCTATTTCTATTTCTATTCCATTTCTTATTCGACTTTATATTATTCGATCATATTCTATTTCTGTTTCTATTCTATTTCTATTTTTTTTTTTATTTTTCTCGAGTCCAACATATTCGATACCGAATCCCTAATTTCCCGACCAAGCGGTTCAAGAATTGTTTGAAAACCATGAGAAAGGCTGAGGATCACAGCCATCACTAGTCACAACAATCACAGGAACACCTACCTTCGCGCTAGAACGCAAGGCACGCGGGTATCTCGGGTGGCGAAACACACTGGACTCGTAAAACCGAAAGCACCGGACTACCGGTAAAAGGGAACCACTCCCTCCCTATCCAAACAACCGTCGAATCGCTCTCCAATCCTCCTCTGACATAGTTATTTTCGACCCTCCTCCCCCCGCCGCCGCGACGATCGCTACATTCGTCATGTGCTTCTGGCACAAACCGTGGTAAACGTATTTGCATTTCCTGAAAATTCTCTTTTCGAAAATTGTTGACCGCCCTCCAACGCTCGTTGCCGAATTCTCGACCGTGACACAAGAATAATCCGCTTCCTTTATTTTTGTAAATGATGCCCTCGTCTCCTAAAAATGACAGTTCCTTAACGTCGATCGTTCGAAATCGAATAAAATTAGTACGACTATCGTATATTACTCCTACTGTAATACCTCGCTCTCGGTCGACACTTTTACTACTGACACCTATGTAACATCTGCAACAGAAATTTCGTGGTTATATCGCGGTAAAGAACAAGGTTAATTTTTACTTATCTACAGTGGACGGAAAATTTCTATAGGAAATCGATATTTATCGTATCCTGATCTCCTTATAGAAATTTCGTCCGCTTTATCGAGATGAAAATAAACGCTTTCTTAATCAGATTTATCTTCTAATTGTCACAGGCAAATCCTGATCGATCGATTGAAAAATTGGTAGCATTATCGCGTCTTGTACAAGACTAGCGGTGTGTGTTTACACTATTCTTCGTCCCTTGTGCGTATCCGTCCTTTCCATTACCTCCGATACGACGAGAAACGTCGAACGCGAACAACGAAACGTTGCAAAACCGTGGAAAAGTAACGTTGCGACGGAATTAAACGTAAGAAAATTCGAATGTGCCGCAACGGTAGCGGTTGGAAGATCGTTTCCCGCCGTTGGGAAGAATGGAAAATCAATAATAGTTACCGGCCTTACCGACTTTACGATGACGAATACCCTAAACGATGCTCCGTCTCTTTCCAGCTCGTGCGTCTCTCCCTTTCCCGCTCTTTGAAAGTTTACGATCGCAGCGTCCATCTTTGCTGAAATCGCAGCGCCGCGCGTTCGCCATTGGCTAACCGCCGTGTCGCCACCGTCGCCGCCGCCATTATAGATTCCGTTGTGTGTGACCGAGTCCCGCTCTCTGCACTTTTCCGCGAAAAAGTCCGTTCTCGCCTCGACGCCAAACGCGATACACGTTGACAAAGATCGTCGAACGAACGAGCCGTGCGTTAAAATGAAAACGTACAGCCGGAAAAAAGGCGATAGCTCGAGCAACGTGATCATTCATGTAAACGAGCTGTGCCGACTGTGCCTGGCAAAGGAGGAGGAGATGGTGCCGATTTACGTCGACGAAACTGTACCCTTATCTCTTCGAATAATGGCCTGCGTTAATTTGGAGGTGAGTTCCGAGCCTTTCTAACGAGTGTGTACGCCACAGTCGATTCGAATAGACGTTGGCGGTTCGTGTCGTGCGTGTGTATCGAGAACTTATCGAAAAATAGGAATCTAGTTTATCTCACTGCCATGGATTCTGTCTCTTTCTACTCTCACCACTCCCCACCATCCTGCTATATTGCGTTTTCGCTTGTGTTCGAGAGCGTCACTCACACACGCGCGTTCGTCGCGAGCGTGCAAGACGCACAAACACCGCGGCCCTCGTGTGTAACGAACGGCGCACTGCCCAAAGCAACTACCGGCTTTACCGAGTTATCGACTTTGTGTTCGCGATACGTCGACGCCACCGTCTTCTCTTTCATTACAGGAATCTAGACGAGACGTATCATTCCGTTACAGATCGTTTACCCTGCGAATTTATAGAAATCTGCAATATTAGATTACAACCGCGGCTTTTATGTTTCCCGTCTGCCCTGCCGTACCCCTTTCCCCCCTTTAAATACACCGAATGATCGATCGCGACGTGCAACTCGGGGTGGCCTTTTGTTATAGCAAATCTTCCAAACAGCGTCGCGATACACGACGATTAATTCCCTCGCTTATATGATCACGATCATCCCCCACCATCCTAGCACCTAACCACAACGATCGAATTAAAGGATAATTGCTATTCGCTTTGGAATAAGGCGACATCTGAATAGAATTGTTGATATGGAAATAACGTGTAAAATACTTAATCTCTTCGCCAATTGTGTAGTCTGAATCACGATATAGCGAAGTCGTAAACTCTTGAAGGTTGGGACCGACTATCGTCCTTCCACAGTGTTTACATCCCCACTCTTGCTGCAGTCCGTTGATTGGCTGTCACCGATCGTTTTCGACCAATAGCGAGTCAGCTGACAGCAACAAGAGTGGGGATGTAAACACGCTGTGCCTTCTTCTCATGGAAGAATGGTACTGCTGTGGCACTTAGGGCCGTACATGACATCTTTCGTGAGGGTGCCTTTCTGAACTACTTTTTTTTATTTTCCACATGCATATATTACAAGCGGACAAATTAAGATATCAAAAACTCGAGTAAGGCCTTCAACCTGTTACGATACCTCTAAAAATGACTTTCTGAAGATGGCGACACTGGATAAAACATTTCTTCGTACGGCCCTGACTATATGGTCTAAGGCCCCTCAGCTTACAGAAACGTGTAAACTGTGACACCTACTCGAATCTACTAAATTTAATATCTAAAACATTTTGTTGTTACAGGTTTTCGAAGAAGATGGTCTACCAAACATGATTTGTCATCCGTGCAAGTATCAATTGGAAAAGTCTTATCAGTTCAAGAAAAAATGCGAGGCCGCTGACGCCAAACTTCGGAAGCACATGAAACTGATACAACAATTAACTGGCCAAGACGGGGAAGGAGAGAACCAAGACAATAACAGGGAAGAATTGAAAGATACCTCCAACACCGGTAAATCTAAACAGGTTAAACAACTATTGGCAGATTTGGTGTCGATAAAAGATGACAGTGGACAAACGGATGGTGACCCTATCGAAGTTACGGAGGAGGAGCTTGTCGGTGGTTACATTTTAGGTATGCATAAACTTCGTTTCATTGAACGAAGCAACAACTAATTTTCCTAATCGCAGGGATGAATTCTGAGAACGTGGAAATGGAAGAAACTATGGCGGTGGATCCAGAAAACATTACGCTAGTGCCAGCCGAAGAACGTACTGCTAAAGCACGTTGCACGATACGCACAACACGTATCAAACAAGAACAAGACACGGACGAAGAAGCGGAAGAGATACACAGGGCAATCGCGAACGCAGACTTGAAAAACGTTTACATGATGGAACTGAAGAGCAACAGTTCCGGGCAAGGAGAATCATTGAAATTGCAACCGATCGCAGATACAATAGGTAATTAACGCGTGAAGTTTCTGCGAAAGTAAAATTTCTCAACTCGTTTCTCTTACAGTCGAGGCTAACGAAGAACTGAAGGTGTTCCAATGCGACAAATGTCCAAAAGCGTTCACCAGAAGAATAATGTTGAAAAGTCATCAGTCGGTTCACTCGACGCAAAGAGGTTTCACGTGTCAGGCTTGCGAGAAATGGTTCCCCACGAGGTCAGCTTTAGTGAGACACGAACGTACTCATACAGGTGCGTAAATTATTTTATATATGTATACAGGATGTTACACATTTTTCCGTACAAAAACTAAAGAAGTTATAACAAAAATATGAAACGCTGTCGAATATACTTATGTTTCCATTTCAAAGTGACGCAGGATCAAACTAGCCCATTTCATGCAACTGCTGATGTTCGTAGTACAATGTAAGACCGTCATGGAGACTCGAACACAGTAAACATGTCATAATTAGCATGTTTATGTTACTTAACATCGACACTATCATATCTTTCGCATTTCATATTTTTATTATAACTCTTACGTCTTAGTTTTACTTGTAGAACTGCTGAAGTGTCTACGTAGAAACGTGGAACACCCTATATATATATAAGGTGTCTAGTAATGGAAACAAATATTCACTTTTTTTCCACTTTTGCAGGCGAGAAACCATTCGGTTGCAACATTTGTCATCGTGCGTTTGCACAGAAAGAAATTCTGCTTCGTCATCTGATGACGCACTCCGGGCAGAAACCATTTCAATGCCAGCATTGCGAAAAGAGCTTCACTCAACGCGAGGCTCTGAAAGTACATATGCGAAGACATCAGAAATTGGACCCGAACGATATCCAATTGCACCATTGTCAACTCTGCCCGAAAGCTTTCTGCCACGCGTCTGGGCTCAGTAGACATTTGGTTACACATACCGGGAGAACGTACAAGTGCGTGGAGTGTGAAAAATCTTTCACTGATAAGAGTTCGCTATTGAGGCACAGTCGCATTCACGCACCTAAAAAGATAGTAACGAATTAAGTTCATTCGGTAAACTCTAGATCGGAATCGCAATATCGACGCTAAATAAACACTCGCGAAATACGTTTCTCGATGTTTAATTGTTAACACGTTCGCTGCTCGTGATCGTATTCTTTTTCGAAGAAAATTACACAGATATAGATTTAACAGTAATATGTTCAAACGTTTCGGGGCCCATTCTATCAGATTTCTACGTCTCAAAGTAAATTTATTATGTGCGGTGTACCATTCTTCCACGAGAGAAGCGTGTTTACGTCCTCGCTCCTGTTGCAGTCCGCTGACTCACTGGTATTGGTCGAGAACGATCGGTCACAGCCAATCAACGGACTGCAGCAAGAGTGGGGATGCAATGCACGCTTCTTCTCGTGGAAGGACGATGAACACATCGCTGAAACAAGAGGAATGCAAAAGAAAATTTTTTCACTTTCGAGAAGATCGTTTATGTATAATTTTCAGATAGGACCAAGGAATGAAACTAAAGAAACTATAACAATTTAAAAACAACAACAGCGAACGCGTTAAGCGTGTGATATACATTTTTTAATTTTTTTTATCTAATTTATAACATATCGTATTCAACGATAATCATGCACTAACAGTTTGTTCAACAATTCCAAGTATATATATATATATATATATATACTTACATTTATATGTAAATATTTCGTTTCTATTGTACGTGTACCAGGTATTAAAACAAAAGATTTTCTTCAAAATGATGTGCAATAAGATGGTTTACTTATGCATCTAGCGTGGTACATCATACACAACGTAACTTTACGTTTAATTAAGTTATCTGTTTCATTAAGATTATATAAATTAGCATTCTGGCTAAACATTTTCTCGTAAAATGCTAGTTCCATGGAAGGGTGTTAAAAAGGATTACAAACTTTTGAGGCTCCAATAGCGTTTATCTAAAAAGAAAAATGAAAGTTTTACTATTGAATTTAAGCAGAAGCTTTAAAAGTTTGTAATCTTTTCTTTATTTCTTTCTTTTTTTTTCAAATATCCTGTATATATTTCCATGATTGATTGTTTGTATTATATACAATTATATTGTACTTGGGTGTATAAATTTACACGTAAGGATTTCAACTGCACATTTCTTTCTGTCTCAATCAGGGCCGTGTCTGGACAGTTTCGAGTAAATCCGTTATTCTAATTCACGAATGGAAACGTAAACAATGTAATGATATAAAATTTACTAGACTTTGGCGTTGCATGTTCCCTCTGTACTGGATACAAATATACGAGTATTGTTGTTATAACAAAATTTGAATTCTAATTATTTTTAAAGTTATATAAATTAAGATGAAAATATAGCCAGAAATATTTCCTTGCAATTGTTGAGTAGTAAACTTTTTTTGTAAAGCTCGACAATGTGAAACGATATTTTCTTTATCTTTTTTCACTTTTTAACCCAGCTTTGTCACGGCCCTGGTTTCGATCATTCCCAATAACATTTGTAAAATTCAACAAACAATTACTCGTAACATATTGTCAGTGATTTTATTATATGCGTACGCAGTCCTTGATAAACCACTTCGAGGAGGACTGCGTACATACAAAGACTATCGATCAAAAATGGAGACTGTCGGAAACTATTTACTTTCAATAAACTGGTTATTAATTCCAGTTAAATAGTTTAAACGTTTTAAAGAATAAAATAAACACTGAAATACATGTTGCGACAACTTTAAAGGATATTTCTTCTTTTTCTATCGCATGCTTATGGACATTCCTTGTTTCTTTCCGACAGTCTTCATGCAGTTATGGTCCCTTCTTTTTAAACGTATGTTATTGATTTGAAAAATATGTAAAAAGTAACAGAATATATTTTAATGAAAAATACCATTCTTTAAATTTCTTTTCCTACTACCGAAGCTCCATGGATCCTCGATAATTGCAAACAAATGATGAAAACTTCTTTCTCGTTTCTTTTTTGTACGCAGCAGTGCCCCAACACCTAAAAAGCAACAAAAATTAGAACACTTCTAATTAACTAAGAAACTCATATTATAATGAAAAATTGTTATTTTTGTTAAATAAAAATTGAACCGTAAATGGTAATTTTGCAGCGTAGAGATCAATAATAAAAATAAGTATATTTAAAAAACACGAAACAACAATATATAAGTAACGTATTCTTAAAAAGGGAACATATGTAATCGCTTGGATAAATGTGACGAAAACCTGCTTTCATCCATTTACATAATCTTGTCTTCTACGTACTAGACACTCCACTTTTCTGCGTCCATTAAATTCACTATTCGATTGGTATCGTATGGTATTACTTATAAAAAGTTTTTTATGAGAGTTGAACGTATTTTATATTCTACGCATTATTATTAAGAAGCAGGCGATGAAGTTTATACAATAATAGAGTACCATTTTATTCTCTATATTATTTCGCTGGAATAACTGTTTCTGCTTCTTAGGAAAAACTTTTTATGAGAGTTGAACGTAGTGTGATACATATTTTCTTCAGACACCCGTTTGGTTGTCCAGGTGGCTGATGATGTATAGTACACAAAAAAAAGAAAAAATACATATTTTCTACGCCTTATTATTAAGAAGCAGGGGATGAAGTATGTACAATAATAGAGTACCATTTTATTATCTATATTAAGTTACTTCGTTGGAATAACTGTTTCTGCTTCTTAGACAATGTATTACAATGTTAGGAGCCAATAGTAGGAGTCTTACTCAGGATTTATGTAAACATTATTAAAATTTTCAAACGTCGTTTAACCCTTCGAGTCTGGTGTATATTTAAAAATGTTTAAAAATCAGATTCTATTGTTTCAGCCTATATTTTCATTATTCATTCAACTCCCTCAGAAATCGCTGGAACTTAATAAAACAGACAATAACGTACCAAATGAAATTGACAATAGTGCTCGAAGGGTTAATATATTGCTAAAAGTATACGGTAGAGGTGTGCAGGTGTTCTTTGCGGGAGTTTCTTTTCCCTTGGCTACTTTTCGTAATCTGAAAGTTTCAACGGAGAACCTGAGAAAGAAATTTTTCCTGGTGACCGGCACAACCCTAACAGACAGTATTATTAATTCGTCAGAATTGTTTATGCGCAGGAAATTCGTTCGCTATATCTACACCACGCTCTACTTCGATTTACACCGATTAAATTTGCTAAATTTTGTAAATTTTATATACATATAGTACTTACAATAAAATGCTTAATAATGTGCAAGCTACACGTGTAAGACGAGTTATCTACGTAAAACGTTTCACTTTGCTATTTAGGAAAAGCATAGATCGTTATAACAATGTGTATAAAAATTACTTACATAGTTCCATTACAGCTAGTCGCAGTTTACTGTGCAACAGAGCTCTTATTTAAAAACTTTCCAACTAAACGTAACATTGACGAAGGAATTTCAAGGAGTTTTCTTTTCTTTTTTTTTCCAATTCGTAAATAGCGTGGAGTAAAAAATGAGTGAAATGAATAACAATTTATTAAAAAATTCTTTTTATTATGACTTGTATACGATGATCTTATTCATCTTTACACTGCCAATACCGTTACACAATAAATCGTTATATTAATCTAACGGAAGGAAATGACTAAAATTTAATTTACAGTTCTCGTTAATGTTTAAAACGTGAGTCACAGATTTTTCACACTACACATTGAAAAAGTCATATAATTTTCGAGCTCCGCCACACGATATTTTTTGTTTTTTTTTTTTTTTAATCGAACCTCTACGAAATAAAAGTCGATACATTTTCGATGTTGCATCATTTGCTATACATTGCAAGATCGACAATGTCTATTACAATTATCTATTCAAACGGAGCAAAGAGGGAAACGCGCGCGTGTGTGTTATGTGTATGTGTATGTGTATGTGTATGTGTGTGTGTGTGTATATAAATATATAAGAGTTAGTAGTATCGCTATTATTCAAATTGAAATGTCAATTAAGAAATTTTTACGATAAATTATACTCAACAGATTTAAATAAACGCGATATTATTAACAACTTCTGCCCAACATCATTATTGTTTCATCTTACAGATTTAAAACAATATGAAAATCAAGGCTTGTCCCATATTGGTCATTTAAATTTATTCGATTTCCCGTTTTTTTTGCTAAAATTAATATACGTAATTATTATCGGGTTTACATTTGCACTCGAACGATTAATTATTATTCTAACGAGGAAACCGTACATGAAAGTTCGATTATTATAAACTGAAGTTGCTGGTAAAAGTAAACACAGGCTATTTAAAATGTTACACTTACACTTGTCAAGCAAAACGAACAAACGTCGAAGTTTCATGTACGTTCGCAGAAATACCAGGGGCGTGGTGTGGGGTGTTCGATGTTCCAGATCCGAGCCCGAAAAATATTTGCCCGCGAAACAATTTGTATTGCAATCCGATTGTACGTATTTATGGTATACGTATTGCACGATTACACGTCTGAATTTAAATATGAAAAACCTGAGAAGCATATTTGAGTCTGTGTCGTAATAAAATTTGAAATATTTTGTTGATCGGTGGTACCCACACACCCCTAGAAAAATACTAATACCGCTAAAAATCTGAGTGAACATTTTCATCTCATAGTTTCGTTTAAAGGCACGGCCCGATGTTACCAATTTACAGATTTTTCGAATGCTCGATCGCCTTTTCGCTTAAATATTATGTTTTTTTTCTCTCTCTCTCTCTCTCTCTCTTTCTCTCTATTATAATTATTTCTAACACACAGCACTTACGAGCCACAAAAAGAAATCGTGCCATTTGGTAAACAATCTACCCTCCACGATTCTAACGAATGCACGAGTAGGCAACGAACTCATGATAGGCTTTAATTCATCATCTTTTTTTTTTTCCCCTTTGTCAATAGTTTCATGACACCTGATGATGGATAAACTTGGATTCATTTGTCAAAGAATAAAAGAAAACTTGCTGTCCTCACCTGTGTGCTGGGGTCAATGAAATTTGTACTATACCACATAATACCAAGTACCTCATCGCGTGGGGGAAAAAACTACCATGTCGTTCTTCCTGCTAGTACTAAGTTGGTAAAAGGAATTGATGGACTCTTGGCGAATGAAGCGCGGAGGTCGAAAAGTCCCGGATAATGTTTCCGGGATGTACACGCATATTTAGAGCGAGTTGGTAGACGTTCCAATATTAGAAACGCCAAATTTATTTAAAATCTATGGCTCTCATCAATCGAGAATTAGTGTTTTTGGCTGCTCCCAAGTGAATCCTTCTCGGCCAAAGTGTCCGTACGTACTGGTTTGTTGGTAAATAGGATTACGAAGGTTCAACTCCCTGAAATAATCACATAATTTAAAGACAATTTCGTAACATAAACTATATTATAAAAATAGTCGATTACTATCATTCTCAGTGAACTTGTTTTTTAACATCATGGCACTCAAGAGTAGCAAATACTATATAACATCATTGAATATTTCGATAAACTATTACGAATAAGACACAAATGCATTATACTTACTTGACTATTTTTCCAGGCCGTAAATCAAAGTTTTTATTAACTATACCTAAAAGTTCATTTTGAGAGAGTTTGGATGTACCGTAGTCAAAAACTGTGATCGACAGGGGCTCTGCTACGCCGATAGCGTACGAAACCTAAACAAAAAAAATGTTTAATTTCAGGGAAACATTTCTAACGATTAGAATCAGCGATCCCTTAATTTCGTGTTACCTGTACAAGACAACGTCTACAGATACCAGCCTTCACCAAGGACTTGGCGACCCATCTCGCCGCGTAAGCAGCGGATCTATCGACTTTGGTGAAATCTTTGCCAGAAAACGCTCCACCGCCATGAGCCCCCCATCCACCGTAGGTATCCACTATTATTTTACGCCCAGTAAGACCAGCATCGCTCTGTAATCAGAGGTAAACGCGTTTCAGTGTATCCTAAGGGAAATTTCACTTTAAAGTGTTCGTTCTTACCTGCGGTCCACCGATAATGAACAGTCCACAAGGATTTACGTGAAAAATCGTTCTTTCGTCAAGGTACCTCGCCGGAATTACTTCTTTAATTACACTCTCCATAACTGTTTTGCGTAACTCGTCCAAACCAATTTTTTCACTGTGTTGCAACGACACGACCACCGTGTGAACTCTTATAGGCACGCATGCACCATGGTCCATGAGATATTCACAAGTCACCTGGATTTAAAAATTTCAATCAAAAATAGGTTCTCCATATTACATTAATAATATAACAGTGAGAGATGTTCTCAGTGAATTTATCGTCGCATCATGTCGCTCAAGAGTAGCAAATACTAAACATTACATCATCGAATACAATATTCTATATCCTAAGCGAACCCATACAAATGTATTTCAAATATATCTATAATTTCATCTAAAATCACATTACTCTTCAAATAACTCTGGAAATTAATTTTGAATTTCTCAGAACGCTTGGATCTGGTTTAAAAGTACAATATTTTAATAAGTAAAAATTTCAACCTGTGTTTTTGAATCTGGTCTTGCCCACCACAATTCACCGCTTCGCCTCAATTCCCCAATCTTTTGATTTAATTTATGCGCTAGGACAACAGTTAACGGCATACACTCGTCTGTCTCATCTGTCGCATATCCAAACATCAGACCCTGATAGAAGAATTTCAGTTATTCCAGCTAAAATTTACGAGATATAAACTTGAAGCAGGCGAAAGATTTGATAAATATCTTTAATTAATTTGCGATATTATACGAATTTCTACAGAGGAGATTAAGCATTAATAGAGAGCATAACAACAACGCATATCTACATAGAGCCCGATAGAAGGTGTTACGCCATTATTTGACCGTAACACCAATTATAATTGTAACACGGTGTACAAATTTATAACATACATAAAAAGGTGTCACACAGAGCAGAATCCTGACGAGCAACATTTGGGGGCAATTGCATTTAATAATTTTAAAACTGGCAAAGATTGCGTGAATTTCAGGGTCAGTTAGTCGGAAATGTTATGAATGTCTATGAATATGAATGAATAAGAATTACCATCACACACAGTTTAATGATGAGAATTCTTGGCGTAGAAATGATTTTTAAAACCAATAGATAAATTTACGAAGACAATGGAATCATAATAAAAACAAAACACATTCTAATGGGCTATACGTGGCCTTCACCATCACCAAGCCGAGGCAAGAACGAGAAACTAAAATTTTATCTACGAAAGCCTTTACAAAAATTGGAAGAAATAGCAGAAAAAAAAACAGAGTATATAGAGTGCGCTGTAGCTAATATTTCTATGATAGTGGAAACATCTAGCATACGTTAAAAGTAGGAACAACACTATAGTTATATATACATACGTTGCACAGAAAAGTAAGGGATAACTAATAAATAGCATATAGCAATAGCGCTGTAGCTAATATTTCTACGATAGTGGAAACATCTAGCATACGTTAAAAATAGGAACAACACTATAGTTATATATACATACGTTGCACAGAAAAGTAAGGGATAACTAATAAATAGCATATAGCAATAGCGCTGTAGCTAATATTTCTACGATAGTGGAAACATCTAGCATACGTTAAAAATAGGAACAACACTATAGTTATATATACATACGTTACACAGAAAAGTAAGGGATAACTAATAAATAGCATTAGACATTTTATTAAAAGAAGAACGCAAAATTTCAAACGAACGATCAGAATGCTAATTGACCTGGTCTCCTGCGCCCACTTCTTCATCGCTACGGTTTTCATGAACTCCCGCTGCAATATTTGGCGACTGAGCATCGAGCGCCAATAGAACACTGCAGAGCTTGTAGTCAAAACCTGTAGAAATTACACGAGTAAGGTAAAAATATTCACTATCGTGAATATCAAACGGTGCCTTATCCACCTGGCACTTCGAACAGTGCTTAATTCCAGGTAACCGACTTTTCACAGATAACACCGATCCTAAGTATTCGATTTAACAATTTTAACACAACAATAATTCGTTATTATTAAATAAAGATATTGAAAACAACTTCTACCTAACCATTTTGCACGATGATACCATTGAAAATGTTTTTCCACGATTAATGTACAACGAAACACCAAGAGCCTACTTAAAAGATACATTTGTATCGGATAACTTTTCTGCGATGATAAATAAATATGCGATGATTGTTTAATAACGAGTTCCCTGGAAGTTTGTGAATAATCCTATCTATTGATACTTCCTGACGAATTTATTCTTATATTATAAAATATTTATAGTAGATGCATTTATACAACTGCATTCACACATTCACACTTAACATAGGGGACGTGTATGTTATAAAAGGTTTGTAAAATATGTCATGAAAAAAAAAGGGAAACGGTAAAGCAAAAAAAGAAACAATGTCATTCAATTATATGGCTGCTCTGCGGCACGGGCTGAGAATGGGTTATGTACCTGATCACCTGCACCCACGTCCTTCTCTTCCCTGTCCACATGAACACCATCAGCGATATTTGGAGATTGTTGTTCGATCGCCACCAAAAGGTTCAACGTACGCCAATCGAATCCTGCCACGATCACGATATGCTTACGTTACATATTCATATGTATTCTTTTGCTCATTGCTTCCAAAAGATAATGAGCAGGATATTAGTTATCCAATCGATCGAGTCATGGAATTTCCTCAAGTCCAACATGTTACTAACGTGTATGTAGCGTAAAGCACATCACATCCTTTTCGATTAAAATTCATAACATAGTGCTGGAAGCTTTCGTGCCATGATTCGACCGTGTATTTGTAAAATCTGATTCTGGAGAACCAAATGAAGGCGAATTTTACGAGGGACAAGATAATAAAGTTTTTTTCATCCAGCCACGGGCCAATGTGTACGTCATACAGAGGGTGCGGAAAACTTTTCATGTTAGCAAGGAAAATTTCTTTAATGTTTTAGATGTATAAGATAAAAAAGAAAAATATTCAACAAAATTTTAAGGGTGTAAAAGGTATAACAAACATACATCGCTGAAAACAAGAAATTACAAGATACAAATGGAAGTATTTTTACCTTTCGACGAATCGTCATATCCAATGTGCTTAACAGTGTCCCGAACAATTTTTTGATAGTCTACCACAGCTTTCGATGTTATTTCACCGCATAACAGTACCATTCCTGTTTTTGTCACAGTTTCTGAACAATTAAAAAGTACAATACTGTTACAATTAATATAACGATATGCATTTTTAATTATATAGAACGAACTATGAAAATTAAGATAAAATCAATTTAACGAACGAAGAGGGAACAAGTCGAAGGAAATATCGTTAAATATGACGTTTTGTACCAATATGGAGTTATTTTGCTGCTACTATTCGAGAGAGATCTTGCACGCAGAATATGGAGAAGATAGAATTGCAAACATACTTCGACGATAACAAAAGAAATTTTGAACCAATGTCGTTATGTTTACCATCTCGAAATCAGAATTTTTGTGGGAGGAGATACCATTCATTAGATTTACATTCGTACCACGCAGTTTATAAATATTAATCAGTGTCAAATGTTGCTACTATTACGATAATTTATTCGCGTTACTATTATACCAAAGGACTGTTTGGCGAAAGCATTTAACGACGATACCATACTTATTTGCGCTATAATTATGTTTTTCATATTTAACAAAATTCAAGGCATCGACTGAAATAGAAACACAATTGTATGTGATTTATTAAGTATTAGATCCCTTTAGAGTTCTGTTTCAAAATTAACTCAAGGTCGGATTGGCTAGCTTATAAATAGAGGTTATAACACGAACAGATTGAAATCATTGAAAAATTAAGAGTATCCCAGAAAACTTACCGCAAGCCACTTTTGCATCAGGATCTTGCTTTAAGTGTGCGTCTAAAATAGCGTCGCTTATCTGATCGCACATTTTATCTAAAAAGAAAAGAAAATTCAAACGTGTTATTAAAATTGTGGGAAAAGTCTAAAACATTTTAATTTTTAAATAACTGGATCTAATTTTTTTATTAATTTAGCATCCCTTTCAAAATGTACGTTACGTCACGAATTAATATAATTTGTTCGTTAAATAGGAACAGTTTCGGAAACATAGAAAATAATTTTTATTTTAGGTTATGGTTTTGGATGAATTCGTTAGAAAATTCGACCAAAATCGTTCGAAATGATGAAAAATGTGGTTTAGATTAGGTTTACTTATAAATTTCACGCGATATTCGAAGAATCATCTATGGTGTGTAAGCAGAAACAGATTTTGTAAAGAACGAAATCAAAGAGAAATTAGAGTCACAAGATAGTGGTTTTTAACAATTTTAAATATTTATTTTCATTGCGTACTTTATGTGTGAAAATATCTGTTTTATCTTTTCAATGCTTCAAACATTACTTAGTTTTGCGTAGAGAGCTTTCTTAGCTAAACTGCTAATACGAAAGGGAAGCATACAAGTTGAGGTATTTGAAAAATCAAATGTCAAAATACACTTTGTAGCTTGGTAGAAAATAAAGATCTCTTTTAACAATTGTAACGTTTCTAAACTTTTTCTATTTGTTCTGAGGATGAACATGTTGATCTTGGAAGTAAAAATTTGCTAAAAGCTCTCTGAGAATTCTGGTGTTCCTCGTACGCGTATGCTAGTTTTATAAACCAATCTGTGCAAGTTTTCCATTCAACTCTGAGCATTGTACAGAAACAAGTCTGGCTTTTAAACAATAATTTATCTAACATTCAAGAACGTTATTTGAAAGAACATTGCATGGAAACGGTCCACGTGGTCCGTTAGATCACCGAAATAGATCTATGTAGGAAGAAGATCAAGAACGACCGTTGCAAATCGTGGATTTGTAAGTTGTAATATCGAGCACATGGCGACGCCGCAGGTGTTTGGTCTCTTCTATCAGTTTGCTCGTGCAACACGCTCGTGGAAATGTGTTTATTAGAATCTGGTGTATCGACGGTCCTTCAGAATTGATCGAAAAGACGATCAGGGCCGACGAACTAAAAGTGCAACGTAACACCATCCCGGCATTTCGGAGCTTTTAAGGAAATTAAGAAAACACGAAGGAAGGGTAGTAGATTCGCGGCGTGCGCACGCGGTATATATGTGTGATCGTGTTCATCGAGTTTCATGGCGGCACACGCGACTCACCGCGCATGGAAACTCGAATCCAGCTCGCACACGAGATCAGCTGAAATACGAGCCAGTCATGAGACGAAGACGTACTTTTTCGACTACGTACCTGGATGTCCTTCGCCGACGGACTCGGACGTGAAGAGAAAACTGGTGTCCTGTTGCAGCTCGGGCGGCGTGTGCCCGTTCGCGTATCCGTTCATATGGTGAGCGGTCTCCGGCATTTTCCTTCTTTTTTGTACTCGTCGTTAAGGACTTTCCTCTCGTCTGCTCTTCCTCCAACGTTACAAGCCACGTGACCGCGGTATCGTAAACACGTTTAACTCCGTCTGGTGTCGGATAACGATTAACCAAAACGACCAAGATACGGAGCCAAGTATCTACACCCTACTTCAATTTCACGAGCGAATCCCCGACACCTACACACCACGGAACGTAATAGTTGAAAGAGCGCGGAGCATACGCACTATGCACAGTGTTCAAAGTAAAAGAGACTCCCCGCTCCCTGGCGGCCGCTATTTATAACCACGGAACCGTCGTCGCTCCGTTCGGCTAATCTCGTGTCACGTGACGCCCAGTCATCTGGTAGTCGACGATCGGCGCGTAATTCAATTTCTTCTTTCTCCCACGTGTTCGCCGACTGAAAACAATTTCGTATTTTTGTAGGAAGCAGCAGAATTTGAAAGTTACACAAAAATAGCAGTTACGGATAATCGAGACCGTGTTATAACCGTTATAAGTAAAAAAAAAAGGGATCAATATCGATCCTCTGTTTAATCGATATTATATCGGTTCCATACGAATCTTGAAATGGTTCTATATCGGTTGCACGAAGGTTAGGTTCGAATCGAATTATTTCAACAATGTTTACATCGTCGCGGTTTAATCGAGCGATTGGAAAGCAGCTGTAACGCAACGTTTATGACTTTTTTTAATCGCGTGACATTAATAATGCGTTCGTACGAATTCCAAATCTCCCTAACCAAGAGTGATTCGGCCGTTACCTTCGATTCGATGTATCGGTTCCACGAGAAATCGTCGTCTAGGTCGATAATTTCTTTTTTTTAACCGTTATAAATAGTTCGAATGATTATCGATTCGCGGTAAACACGGTTCGCGGGTTACTCCCGATAGAAGCGAATTCACACTGAGCAGATGTTGCGTATCAGTCCAACTTTTATATATGTATGTCATGACACCTCCCTTCCACGATGTTGGAAAAGATTCGAGTGGGGTCGTAACAAGTATTTGTGCACTCGATGAATATAATTATGCATGGGGCGTCGAAGAAAGCAGAGAGAACCGCTGAATAAAATGTTCGATAAGGAATTTTCAATTGAAATTTCAAATGGTTTCTCGATGAAAACCGAACCTTAGGGGGGAGAAAAAAAAAATTTCTTTTAATTTTCGAACGAATGAAAAATGGCTGTTTGTCTCGTCGACGAAGTGTCGATTCGAGATAAAAACGATTCATTTCAGGCGTTTCGTAATGCTCTTTTTTGGCAAATTGTTCGGCTTGAACTTTATAACATTGCGATATACATTCGATTACGAATTTAAAATGTTGAAAAATATATTATCGCGCGAATTTCTTTGGTTTATTGTCATGCAAAGCATTGCGGGTAATATGTAAGAAGTAAAGAGGAATTGACAACCGGAAAAATAAATATATTTTATTTTCGTTAAGTTTCTTTGTAAAAAAAAATATTATTATAGTAATAGTATTGTAATAATGTTCTTCGAGTTTTTCTAGATTCTAGAGGCCAAAATAAGACGAACATCAAGAATACCAATTTGTCGATGGAGGCTACGATAAAAAGTTATTAACAATTAAATTAAAAAATTTCAAATCGTTCTGGAAAAATTATTTTCGGTTGCGGGGATCAATTACAATCGTTTTTGGTGAATACACATATCTTCGAAATCCTATCCACTTTCGAGAAAAAAATTCGAGAAGGTGTGAAATTTTTCGACCGGAAAAAAAATTTCAAATCGTTTTGGAAAAATTATTTTCCGTTGCGGGGGTTGATTACAATAACTTTTGGTGAATAGACATATCCCCGAAATCTTGCGCATTTTCGAGAAAAAAATTCAGTACGAGCGGAACTTTAAACGTTGATAACTTTTTAATAAAGCCTCCGTCAACAAATTGGTATTCTTGATTTTCGTCTTATTTTGGCCTGGAGAATCCCCCATTAAAATTTTTCCCAGGGGTGGCCATTATGTAATATTTGTAAAAAAAACAATATTAATAATATTTATACGTACATGATTAAGTCCATTTATCTGAACATGCAGAAACGAGAATTAAAATTTATAAACATGGAACTGACGAAAGCAATTTGTACTCTGTTGGTAATCGTTTAAATGAGAATCTTGTTAATGCTTGTAATGCAATATATTTCGAAGAAAAACACGCGCGCAGTCTGATGTTATCTTGTTCACGAGGAGAGCAACGTAATCGAAAACTAGACGTATGCAATGACACTGACACAGCCGAATGAGAGAATATCGAATAAATTATTCAGTTAATTAAAAAAAATTATATTATTCCGTGGTTAAATAAAACTCTATGCTTTGCAAGCATGATGTGAAAGATATAATCTGAGGGAAACATGACTCAGTATTTAATTCGATCATTTGGTATTATGAAACAACATCGAGAGGTTTCAGTTACGCGTAGATAAGAAATGTTTCGGATAAAAATAATGGTGTACCCTATTAGCAGATTAAAGTTATTAGTAAATTGTAAAGAATTTTGATTTAATTTTTTAAATCGAATAATAAATTTTATTCCTGTAATTGTAAATTAACAAGAATTCGTTTGGAAAAATTTATAATAATATATAAGAAATGAAAAGTGCTTAGCTATGATTAATACTGTGCTTGGGAAATTGTTAAGAACTTTAATTTAACTTTTGAAATTGAATAATAAATTTTATTCGATTCTTGAAATTATAAATTAACAAGAATTGTATTCATTTGGAAAAATTTCGCGTAATGCTATACAAATTTAATGATCATTTGACGACTGATCGTAGTATGATAAATTACACGCGATTAAAATAATACGTATCATCTGTTATATTTGTAAATACATGCGAAGAAATTGAAGCATAGTTATTATTAATACTGTGATAATAATATTTGTCACAGTAATGATTCGAAAATAATTAAAAATAAATTTAATGGTCTTTCAGGTTCTTACGAATTCTAGGGGAAAAATGGCGTCGCTTGTAACAAGTAACTACGCGATCGAAATTTGGTATATATTTATTGTACTATTTTATACAAGATCGATTTTGGCTACTTAAATGATATTGGTAATTTTGATATTAAATTTTGCACACGATTTTATAATCGATCGGCATTATTTTCTGTGACTTTATTTGACTTATCAGTTAACGAACTACCGTAACCTTAACTAGCTCGATAGCACCTAAATTCAGCCTCCACGACCCATCTACATATCTATCCACAGAGTCGCTTAATTTAACCGTTTCGCTCTGATATTCAATTTATAATAGCCCGTTAGAAACTGAATTCCACAAAATAAAAAATAAAACAATTAACTAGATTTAAAAAAACTTTTAGTTACTTAAATAGTCATCGTAATAATTAAAAATAATATAAAATGTTTATAATTTAGTTGTGGAAACTAAATTCCTCAAAATAAAAAATAAAACAATTAACTAGATTTAAACAAACTTTTGGTTATTTAAATAATCATCGTAATAATTAAAAATAACACAAAATATTTAGAATTTAGTTGGCTGACGCAAGTTTTCCTCCATTCGAAAATAATAAAATGGCGTCCACCGAAACAAAGCCAAAATCGTCTTCGATCAACATGTATTTCATTTTTTTCTTTTAAACACCTAATCTAGATATAAAAAAACTTTTGATTATTTAAATAGTCATCGTGATAATTAAAAATAACATAAAATATTTACAATTTAATTGTAGAAACTAAATTCCTCATCATATTAAAAACAAAACTATTAACTAGATTTAAAAAAACTTTTAGTTACTTAAATAATCATCGTAATAATTAAAAATGATATAAAATGTTTATAATTTAGTTGTGGAAACTAAATTCCTCAAAATAAAAAATAAAACAATTAACTAGATTTAAACAAACTTTTGGTTACTTAAATAATCATCGTAATAATTAAAAATAACACAAAATATTTAGAATTTAGTTGGCTGACGCAAGTTTTCCTCCATTCGAAAATAATAAAATGGCGTCCACCGAAACAAAGCCAAAATCGTCTTCGATCAACATGTATTTCATTTTTTTCTTTTAAACACCTAATCTAGATATAAAAAAACTTTTGATTATTTAAATAGTCATCGTGATAATTAAAAATAACATAAAATATTTACAATTTAATTGTAGAAACTAAATTCCTCATCATATTAAAAACAAAACTATTAACTAGATTCAAAGAAACTTTTAGTTATTTAAATAATCATCGTAATAATTAAAAATAATATAAAATGTTTATAATTTAGTTGTGGAAACTAAATTCCTCAAAATAAAAAATAAAACAATTAACTAGATTTAAACAAACTTTTGGTTACTTAAATAATCATCGTAATAATTAAAAATAACACAAAATATTTAGAATTTAGTTGGCTGACGCAAGTTTTCCTCCATTCGAAAATAATAAAATGGCGTCCACCGAAACAAAGCCAAAATCGTCTCCGATTAACATGTATTTAATTTTTTTTTCAAACACGTATTCCATACTATAAAATTTCCAATTGCAATTTTTTCAAATTTTATAACAATAAATATTTCAAGTTTATCTGCGCTTTTCCCCCAAATATTCCTTTTTCATTCAGTTTCCTTCAGATAGCGACTGTGATAAGTGGACTCAATATTTTCTGAATAACATCATCGTCAAGACATTATTCTTGCTATATATTTGTTTAGTATCGGTCATTTACGTTACTCGGTAGATTGCACGGTTCAACAAGTACGTATTAAGCACGTGGTTATTTTCTGACGCAATTTTTGTATCGCGCTAAGGAGAGGCTACTCTCGTCGTTAACATAACGAATAATTTAAACAATTCTAGTAGACGATTCAATTTTATCAATTATCGACTAAAAATTAGATCGAAATTATTTATTTCGACAACAAGCAACGATCGAATTTAAATGAAAATAAAAAAACGAAATACAATTAAAATCGAAGGGATGATAGAAACAATTTTTTCCCACTATTTAAAACAAGTTTAATTTTAGAAATCGTTTTTTTTTTTCAATTTCATCGGCGAATAATTTTCAACTAAAAGAATTTAAATGAAAATAAGAAATGGATTGCAATTAGAATCGAAAGGATGATAGAAACAAATTTTTTTCCACTATTTAAAACAGGTTTAATTTTAGTAATCGTTATTTTTTCAATTTCATCGGCGAATAATTTTCAACTAAAAGAATTTAAATGAAAATAATAAATGGATTGCAATTAGAATCGAAAGGATGATAGAAACAATTTTCTTTCCAATATTTAAGGCAATTTAAATTTATTCATTTAAATTTAATTTTAGTAATCGTTATTTTTCTGATGTAATAATTAAATACTAATAATGTAACAGTTCTAACGTGAATCTTGAGAAGCTGTGGTCAAAGTCACGGTCGTTGTCATATCTGTTTTATTTTTAACTAAATCTCGGCCAGATATCTATTCGTTCTAGTCGATTTTGAAGGTTTGTTAAGAGCATGTGGCGGATGGTGACACGTTTAGGCGCCTCTTACATCAGCCGTATTATATTTACACTGTTTCGGCTTCACTGGTCTCGAATCATGACTAATATGATTTTTATCGACGCATCGAAGGACAAATTGTTGATAAAATCGAGTAGATTCGTGCCATAAACGTCCACTGATTATATTCACTATTTCTATCAAAGGAAAGTCACCTTATAAGGGGAGCAGTCTCATGTGGACCTCAAGAGAATTAATTATTTTTTATTTCAATTTTTGGAAGTAAATTTAAGAATGTTCTGTTAAATTTTGAGAGATAAATGTCAAGCATTGTGGACTGTACAATATTTATATAATATATGTCCAAAAGTTTTTAAACATTTAAAAAGGGCGTGTTAAAATCAATTTCGTATTTGTAAACTTGCCCCCTT